CGATATGTTCTGACTCATGAGCTGAACTTGAATATTTATAGTGGTATAAAAAAGTGATTGGGACGCGCTGGCCGTCTGGGGCCCGCCCTGCGCCGCTGGCGGCCTCGCGCCGCACCCCAGCTTCGTTTTGGGGGCTGTATGTGGCCGTGTCTCGAGTTCACTGGTCCTTGGGAGGGCTGCCAGTACCGCCGCAGTTTCCCCTTCGAGACGCGTCCCCTCGATCTCTTCCGGATCTCTCGCTGTGCTCGAGCCCGCCTCCTGCTGCCGGCTGGGGTGCCGAGCACAACTCGCGGATTCTCTGGTGCGGTTTTAAAGTGAATAGTAGAGCGGCCAGCAGAGTTTTCAAGCAGAGCTTATTGAGAAAGCAAATTAGGAAAAAAAGAGGAGATTCACCTCCCCAAGTTAGGGGAGGGGGGGGCCAAAGCTAAGAAAACATGGCGGCCACAGCGCAAAGATCCACGTGGCGACAGCACTGGCTGCCAGAGCAGTGGCGGCCGCTGTTTGAAGTTGAATGCCTTGAAACCTTTCCTTTGGTCTTTTGAGGCCCTCCTGAAGGGGCAGGTAAGCGCCTGTACTCACGTCAGGCAGATGGGTGGACGAGTCACATGCCTGCCGCCTTGGTGATGGGGTGTGTCAGGAAGGTCGGGAAGGGCTGGTGAGGTTAACTTGGTTGCAGAACAGGCTGGGGAGAGTGTGGGGTGGAGCCTTTTACCTTCAACAGGGAACCTGAAGGAGTTTTAGTGATGAGCTGAAAGGTTGGCCTGTCCTGTTTTTACGGCTGATGGGGTATTCTTTTGATTGACTGAGGGGATGGGGTAGGCTGCCAGCTCTGCCTGCAGTAAATGTAATTTTAAAAATCTCCCAACGCTTCCTAAAACCTACCAATGGGAAACTTATCTACATATGTCTGACACCTGTGCTAGCTACCCTGCCTCATTCTGACACCTGAAACTACGGGCTTGATTATCTCAGCCATTTCTGTGTACTTACTTGCGGATCTTATGATCTGTGTGATTTCTGGGTCTGCTTCTCTAGACTTCGTTTTCCAGTTGTCGTATGTCCTGCTTGTCTGGGGCCTGGTCATGGTGATGGCCGCCGGCCCTTACGAATTCCTTGTTCTTGGTGCTGGCGTTCCCAGGTCCTTTAAGTGAGTCTGAGCGGTGTGTGACACATTTGCCTTCCTCTGAAGCAACGTGTTTTTTTCCTCTTTTCCAGGCCTTCAGTATGGGGCAGCGTGATTCACACTCCTAAGCAGAACCCTCTGGGTGCTTTACCTGATGCGCCATGTGTTAGTGCTCCCTGAAGCTTCTAGCCTCGTGTGAGCTCAGAATTGTTCTGCTTCCTCTAAGTAGCTTTTTCCCAACTTTGGGTAGTTTCCTCGCACGTGTGCACTACTCGCCGAAGACTGAAGATTGATTCTAGGGGAACCTACGTCAGGTCTCGAGATCTCTGTACTGGAGGTCTTTCCTTTCTGGTGTTCTGTCTTGGCCTCTTGTAACACTTTATTCTCTGTCCTCATCTCGGTTATCCTGCTGGCCTCCGGTTGGCTTGTGGCCTGGGAGCTCCCCTGGCTGTTGTTTTCCTTCTCTTAAGAATCACAGCCCTGCACATCCTATCACCCAAACCTGGAAACCATTATTTCATACATTTTGACTGATTTTTTTTTTTTTTAGTTGTTTAAGGTAAGGACTTAAATCTGGTCATTCACCCTCCCTCATGGCCAGAAGCAGAAGTCAGTAGAAGTTTTGTTGTTTTTTTTTTTAAAGTCAATAACTTTATTGTGTTA